TCACACTGGTGTCGCTGCCATACAGGGTAAGCACTGGCTTTAAGCGTCACATCATTGGGAAGAACTATCCGAAGGTTTCGGGCGACATGTTGCAGACGTTCATAGAAGGGGAATCCAGATATTCGCTTAATATATCCCCACTCTAGGTCAGGTAGAGAACAGGTCCCGTCAATGTAATCTCGACATGGATGTTCATCGTATCCTGTCACTTTTAGGGCATATCTGACAGTCATCTCCCAACGTCGTAGGAAGAGTGGCGGTACATGTGACTCAACCTGCAGTGCCATTACCGGAGAAGTCCGCAATGCTCCTGTAGCTACCCTCAAACACGCGTTCTGTATGCTTTCAAGGGAGTGCACTGCATTGTTTGCTGGTCCATCAAGGACCTGACAGGCATATTCTAGGATGGGACGTATAAGAGATTTGTACATCCTCAACAGAATGGTTCTGTCGGCACCATATTCACGTCCGGATATGCATTTCAATATGGGAATGCGTTTCAATGCTCTGGCTCGAACGTACTGGATATGTTTGTTCAAGTTTAACTTGGAGTCCAGAAACACTCCAAGAAACTTAACATTGTCACAGTATGCAATTGGTTCGTCTTTAATCCGTAGTAGGGAAATGTGATCTAATTCAGTTCTTTTCATATATCGTCCAAATATCACTGCATTACATTTGGTAGGCGTGAAAGTAAATCCCCACGTATCTGCCCACTCCACCAAGGAATCAAGTGCGTTTTGCATGGTTGTTATTAGTTGTGGAAGATGCCTTCCTTGTAACCAAATTGCACAGTCATCTGCATACATAGCATAGGAGAACTCATCTGAAATACCTTCAAAAATATCATTTATCATCAGGTTAAAAAGTATCGGCGAAACAACTCCCCCTTGGACGACTCCATTCTCCTGTTCAAAAATCTGTGATAATCGACCACACTTCACCTGGAAGGTTCTTCCATTCAGGTAGTTTTCCACAAATTTCATCAGTCTTCCACGGAAGCCCAATGTATACATCTTTAGAAGGAGGGCAGGGGTAGACACTAAATTGTAAGCACTTTTAAAATCCAGAAATACTGCCAACGTATATTTGTGGTAGAGGAATCCATGTCGTATCTCTGATTCCAGTCTGATAATGTGGTCGACCGTACATCGTGCTTTCCTGAAGGCACACTGGTATTTCGATAGCACTCCTTTGTTTTCGGTATACCATTTGAGCCTTTCAGCTATCATTCTTTCCATGATTTTACCCATGCATGAGGTAAGTTGAATTGGTCTGTATGACTGAGGGTTGGAAGCCGGCTTCCCAGGTTTCAGGATAGGGACCACGTATGAATGTGACCAGTCTGTCGGAAATATACCTTCCGTCCAGACTGCGTTAAACATCTTAAGAAGTTCTCCGTATTGAGTATTCCCCATATGTTTAAAAAAAGTGTAATGCAGTCTATCCGGTCCTATAGACGTATTTCCACATCGTTTTATGGCGTTTGTCAGTTCAGGTAAGGTGAATAAGTCATTGTAGCATTCAGCATTGTTAGAACGGAAATCAGGCATAGTTCTAATAATGTCATCAACTCGTGTACGAAAATGTTCTGAGTAGTTCTCCTGCGAGGAGATGCTTTCAAAGTATCGTCCAAGTGTATTTCCAACTTCAAAAGTATCATCGATAATACGTCCATCTATACTGAGTACGGGTAAAGGTCTGTTGTATCTCGTTTTCCTTGTGAATTTCCTCAGTATCTCCCACAACCTGGGTAAGGGGGTCTGGTAATTGAAAAGGCTAAGGAGTTTAAGCCAGGAGTCTTTCTTGGCCTGCCTAATAACCTGTCTGGCTTTGGCCTTTGCTCTTTTATATTCGAGTAATAGTCCTGGGACCTCTCTATTTCTCCTAAATCGGTTTAATAGCCTTTTCCGTTCTGTAATCGCTTTCTTGCACTCATCTGTCCACCAAGGACAGCAGTACTTTGCATGTCCAGTTTTCTTAGGTATTGTCTCTGTTGCTGCTGAGACAATAAGGTCTGTCATAACTTTGCAGTTTTCTACTCCCAGTTGATCATCATAGTTGAGTGTACACTTTTCTCTAAATTCATTCCAGTTTGCTTTATTTAAGTTCCATCCATAAAAAATGTCTGAGTCCTGTGAAGGGTCAACAACATTATTCAGTGTTATATAAATTGGGAAATGGTCACTGTCATGAGGATCATCTTCAGTCATCCACATTGCGTGGGGGGCGACTGATCCTGAAGATACTGTCAGATCGATATGGGAGTACAGCCCAGTGTAATCATCAATTCTAGTAGCACTACCATCATTGAGAACATTGAGTCCAAAAGTTCTGATCAAACGTTCCCATATCATTCCCCTTCGGTCACATCGATCCGAACCCCAAAGCATATGACGACTGTTGGCATCCGTACAGATAACCATGGGCTCCGGGAGCTGCTTAATCAGACTTTCCAACTCTTCATATTGTAAAGGTTCAGTGGGGGGTAGGTAAAGAGAACAGATGTGCATGGTTGAGCTGCCCATCCGTATGGAGCAGGCCACAGCTTGTAAGTTGGTGTTCACAGCTATCAGTCTGTGAGGAATCCTGTTAGTAACATATATACACACACCTCCCTGTCTCCTTTCATCATTGCCAAAAACATCATACCTTGTGTAATTCGGCAAGTTAAAATCATATTCATCTGATGGAAGGAAGTGAGTTTCCTGTAAACAGTAAACATCACATGTTTGGGTCATAAGGAAGGGTTTGACAGAAGCCCATTTTCCAATCAATGCTCTACAATTCCATTGCATTATTTTCACCATAGTGTAGTATGTGTTTGCCTCTAGAGTTTAGAGAAGTTTTTTTTTGTTTTTTGTTTTGTTTTTTTGTTTTTTGTTTTGTTTTTTTTTTTGTTTTTTTGTTTTGTTTTTTGTTTTTTGTTTTGTTTTTTGTTGTTTTTTTTTGAAAAAAGAAAAGAAAAACTAACTAGCTACTAGTGAATATACTGTTCACTCTAATCAGTTGTCTGATGCCGCTTGTGAAATATCTACCCATGACTGCTTTCTTGTCATGGGTTTGTCCCCTGCTCTTTCATTGGATATGCCTGCTCTCACAAGCGGGGGAGCGGGGGGTGGTTTGGTTTTGCCTTTTCCTCGTCCTACACCCTTTTGCCTTTGTACAGTCTGCCATTTGGCAGCATCTTTGGTCTTTTTCACTGTGTCTATTGTCTGTGTCAAGTCACATGTCTGAATCATTTCGTCTCCCTCATCTCTTTCCATGGGTTGCGTAATTTCATGAGTTTTCCTCGTATCATTCACCTCCCCTTCATCACTGTCTGTTGTAGCATCTCCCATTGTCTCATCACCTCTCGATCTCTGTAATACATCCCTCTGGGTTTTCTTTACACGTACTGTGTCTGTTGTACTAGCAGCACCTTTAGAGGTACTTTCTGTGATCTGCGACTCAGTCAGTTTTTTGAGCAATGTCATCATCTCATCTACCTTCTTCTCTAGCTTTTCTACCTTTCCTTTCAACTCCTCATCCTCCTGCCTTCCAGTAATATGTGGAGTGCGCACAGTGGCAGCATAATTTCTGAGAGCAGGGGGCTCATGGCGGTCATCGTACAGTTTCCTGGCTTGGCTGAAAGATACCTCCTCTTCCACTTTGATCCTACATATTTCTTTCTCTTTCTGCCATGTTTCACAGTCATGAGATTGACACCCATGATCAGTGCGTCGGCAGTTGATGCACTGGGGCGTGCATTCTCCCTCATGAGGCATTTGTCCACAGTTTAGACATACCTTGTCTTTAGTGCATCGCTCCTGAGCATGCCCAAATTTGCCGCACCGGTAGCACAGCAGGGGGTTTGGTATATACGTGTGCACGTGGTATGTCACATAGTCCATTTGCAGTTTTGTTGGGCAGGATGGTCTGTCAAAGGTAAGTAGCAGGGTTGGGGTCCCTTGTGTTTGTCCATTCACTTTCCTGGTGAAGCGCTTTGCTCCAACAACCCCAAAGTCCTTTAGCCACTGGACCACCTCGTCCTCGCTAAGTTCTTCTAAGTCATATGCACGAATAGTGCCCCGTGATGTGTTCAGCCTTTCATCTTTCAATACTTCACAGTCCTCATTTGCAAATTTCCTAACTTTCAGAAACTTTTCAGTTTGGAGAGCATGTTTCGTTTTGACGAGCAAAGATCCATCAGTCAAAAAACTAGCCTTTTCCAACTTGTCAACATCCCCCAGGACACCTCTAACACCTAACTGCACCCATGGCCAGCCTCTGGATTTAAGTGTTTTCCCCGAGAGGAGTTTGATTTTGAGGTACGACCCGGAGTTTTCATTGTTTCCTTGATCGAAAAAAGATTCATCAGCCCTCACCCGTTTACCGGGCCTTCCCGGCTTCATTTTACATACCGTTGTGCACTGGGATTTTATAAATGATGAACGAATTGAAATTAAACAAAACTGAAACCAAAAACTTAAAAATCCAAGATGTCTTCCACCGCCACGTCACCACTAGAAAGTCAATCAGCTGTTCTTGCCACGTCCTCCCCGCAAGAAATCTGAAGCAAGAGTGTAATATATAAAAAATACAAATACACCAACCTGAAGCGCCTCAAACCCAAGGCCGCTCAAACCTGAACCCGCCTCGTGCGCGCCAGCTTCGGTAAACTTCGGCGTCGTAAATGTCGCAGGACCGCGAGAATAGTCTAGAAAATCAAAAAGTAAACGGCTAGTAAAACAAAGATGGGCTTAGGAAACATATATTCTTTGCAAGACATGTAAGCCAATTCGCCTTTTGTGCATTGGTGTTGAGCAAAACAGCATGAGTGACGAAGTAAACAAGCTTTGATTTAAAGTTTGAAGTCATATACATTTTACTAAAGGGTTGCAAGGAAAAAATAAAACCTAAGCAAACGGCACAGGATATAGAGAAAGTGAGCCACTGCTGCCCACTGTGGCTCTCAGTAGTCAGTACCACCAAGTGATAGCTTGCAAGTTGGGCTTGGGAGTTTTCCCAGTGGAGATTGAAGTTCGCCCACACCCTTGTATTTCAGCATTGCTGTGCCTTCCCCATCAGGGATCATGGAGCGCGTGCTGGTATTTTTGTACGGCACTCTGAAAACGGGCCAGCCCAATCACCATCTGCTGCTGGCTGCCGAGACGGGCCGGGCCGAGCCGGTGGGGCCGGCGCTCACCCGCCGACAGCTGCCGCTCGTCATCGCCTCCAGGTCGGTTATGGTTACGTCACCGCGAGTCTGTTTGTGTTTACAAAGTAACGCGAGGCTCAAGGCCACGTAGCGTCGCGGTGCAGCTCGCTCGGCGCTCCTAAGTCCTAGTTAAACACTCGCTCTGCTGCACGGTGCGGCAAGGAAGTTGGGTGCTAGGTGCTTAGAAATAAGCTTCTACCGCATATATCGTAACGGCGAGATAAAAGTCAAAACATAAATGCTGAGGCTCCTCTGTTGGTTTCACTACGCTACTGAATCACCGTCTATTCGTTTGACTCGTAAGACGTATTTCAGTTCTGATGCATAGCGTGTCCTCATCTACCGTGGCATTACCTGCATAAGATTTCACTTATGCGCCAAATCATTCCCTTTCGTTCCCAGGTACAACATTCCATACCTGCTGGACCTACCCGGCCGGGGTCACCGGATCCACGGCGAACTGTATGCCGTAGACCACGCCAAACTGGCCTGGCTAGACGAGTTTGAGGGAGTGCCCGACCACTACGAGCGGCGCCAGGAAGCCGTTGAGCGACTGCATAAAGACGGGGCTGCAGACGGTGATGGAGACGGTGGTGACGTAACAGCGTTTGTGTACGTGTTGAGACACCATAAACCGTTTATGCTTCATCTGCCGATGTTGGACGATTATTCGTCAGACGGTTCCCATGGACTGCCATATAAGGAGGAAGAAGATGATTTGAATGCAGCTGAAGATATCGATGAAATAAATGCATGACTCTTGGAGTTGTGTGCCCGGGATCTATTAGAAATACAATTGTGTGTAACTCAGTATCAATAATCAATAATATGGTATGCTGCTAAAATAAAATGAATGCTTTGATTTTTGGTTGTGAGACTATCTTCCAAGATTTATTCTTATCTGTGTAGCTTCTCACTGGGTGATCTTTGCCGGTGAGCTAATGCATTATCGCTTTTCGAAATACAGGCCTGACAAAAGTATAATTTGCTAGTTGCTTGCTAGGTGTGGTGCGGCAGTAATGACGAGAAAATTACATTTGTTTTCTTTAGAACGTTAAATTGATATTGTGTTCAATTTTGTGATCGTTCAAAAATAATTCTACAGAGCAAATCACATCGCTCTAATATTGCGCTCTTTCCCTTTTTTTGCAGCAATTGCAGCTATCTGAACATAATATAAAACTTGCCAAAACAAACTGGACTCTCACAACAAAGCGAGCGAATATTCGCCCGTGTGTTATCTCGTGTTGAGTGAATGTAAACTGAAGTGGATAGGGGGCTGGCGATTTAAATGCTCTTTTGTTAAATTTATGTATCATGTTACTTAATTTGGGAATATTTGTAGTGTGGGCAGTGTATGCACTGTCTTCTAGCTGGGTAAGTTCCTAAATTATAATTCATGAAATAAGCTCAATCTGTTTTTAATTAGGTGGGTACTTTGCTTGTTAATTCACTTCAGTTTTTTTCACTCAAAAATTTCTAGAGGCCTATGACATTGTGATACCCTGAATTGTGTCTCTTCTATCTATTTTTCGCAGGTTTCAGCCACCTCCGAAGCCAGTGATGCAGGGCTCAATTCCAGCACCCTCTGCCCCAGTACATCTAGCTGTACCTGCCAGTCCAGCATCATTCAGTGCTCTGGGCTCTCTTCCCTGGACCTCCTCCCACCATCCTCTCTGACCGAGCAGCTGGTTGTGCTGGACAGCCAGCTGCCGCTGCTGAATGTCACCCGGCTGCAGCACCTACCACAGCTTCGTCATCTGGAGCTCACCAACTGCAGCATTGGGGGCATCGTTGGCACATGGTGGAACCCACACCTGCAGGACATCAATCTTGCCAGCAACAATTTTACCACGTTCAGCCTCAACTCGCTGGATGGGCTGCTGGGCCTACGCACTCTCAACCTCTCCGCAAACCCTCTGCAGAGTGTCCTGCCCCATCCTCCAGTCGAAGCACGTCTCCAGACCCTGGACCTCACTGGCCGACACTGGAACTGCACAGAGCACGCCATGACATGGCTGGCGGCCTGGCTGCAGCGGTCGCCGCCGCGCCTCCTGGCTGGGGAGAGTGAGACACTGTGTGAGGAGACAAGGAAGCAGTACCGCACCATGGACGGACGCAGACTGGTGGACGTGCTGCGACTGACCCAGGTGGGGATCAGGGGGATGGGAATGGCAACGATGGTTGTGAAGGGAGGCTGGGTATGCAATGAATGCATGGTTAGTACGGATTCAAGTTTGCTGATAACTTGTTTTTAAGCTCATTGATGTAGTCTAAAAGCTTATTTGTGATGCATGTTAGTTTTATTACCATATTGCAAAGGAGTGCGGTAAAATACCCTTCCCATTTGATGAGTTTCATTGTCATTCATTTTTCTTCATGATTATTTTTTCCTACTGTGCTCTCTATTTTTTGCTGCTCATCATGTAATCCTATATCAATCAACACTGCTCTCGTCATTGCCTTTTCCGTCACTCCCCGCCCCATTTCCGTTTAGCTGGTGACCCTGCTGCCCGCAGACAATGCTGGACCAGTGTCCGTCGGCGCCGCCGTTCGGCTGCTCCTGCGATCTGATTCAGGTGGACGTCGCTCCGGCCACCCCCGCCGCCGCGGCCTCGGCTGAAAGCGAGGGTGGCGGTGAGGGGCCGCTGATAGCGGTCATCGTGGAGGTCTACTGCGACAACCGGGGGCTGACCGAGTTCCCGCCGTGGCTGCCGGAGAACACGACCACGCTCTACATCAGGAACAACAGGCGAGTGAGAGATAAAGTAGTCCTTGTCAGGAATAGCAGGCTACTGATCAATTAAGTCCAAATCGTTCCAAATAGCCTTCCCCTCCCCCGACCCCATCTACACCTGTTTTCGGTGTTAACCGGCGACCCCGCTCTCCGCAGTCTGACCGATTTTGGGCCGGTGATCGGTAACCACTCGGGCTACCAGGCGCTGACGGCGCTGTTCCTGGACGGTAACCTTCTGGAAGCGGAGGACGCTAACCGTCTGGAGGGCTCCGACTTCATTCACCGGTTTTCCATTCTCAGTCTGTCCAGGAATAAACTGCAAACGGTAGGTGACTTCAACGCGATCTACGGAGCTAACTCTGGTTGTCACAGTTCGGGACGGTGGGGTCTGCATATCTTTTTGTCGAATGTCTACCGGCTTTGAGATAAGAATGGATACATTGACCGTCTGTTATAGGTGTCAATCGATCGGATAAACCACTTCCTGTCCAGTGGTCGGAAACGATCAATACTAAAAGTCCTTTCACATTGGTGATATTTTTCCCTCGATGTTTCCCGCAAGTCACAACAGTTTTACCCGAATTCCGATCATTCACTCTCTGCGACCTGACGACCGCTGACGTCCTGACCCTGTCACAGCTGCCGCTGTACGCCTTCGACAACGCCTTCCAGAAGCGCTCCTTCAACGTGGACTCGCTGTTCCTGGGCGGCAACCCGTGGCTGTGTGACTGTGACAGCGCCTTCACCTTCTCATTCCGGGTGAGGGCCGATTGCTGGATAGGCGGAATATGCCTGTTGTATTATAGTGGAGAGGTTTCAGAAATCATTTTGGCAGGTACTGTAAATTGCAATACGAGGCATGCATCAAATATCAATATTAAGAACGGCTGCATCAGTTGAATATGAGGGCAATTATCAGCGTAGATGGATCAATATCATAGATAGCATACGGTCTCAACGGGGGATGAATTTAACGATGCTTCCGCCTTCCGCTGATATCACTCCATGTACTCCCACATTGCACCCACCTCTTTACTCTTCCAAGCCTCATAACCTTATTTTCATCCCTGCTCCTGCCCAAATCCTAATAGGTCCTCCTCACTCTATCTGGCTTGCAGTCTACTCGTACACGTGATCGCTGATCACGTAAGGTTATTGAGACAAACTTACCTACCGTGATTATTGGATCGTCTCTTGGATAAGACGGCTGGCTTTTTGTTGCTCCGTCTTCGTGAAGTGTCTATTTGGTCAATTTATACAGGACATGCTCGAATTGTGATCCATTATGAAGAGCGTTTAATAATCTTCCAGAGGCCGCAATATCGGATAGTAATTCAGTGTATCCTTTGAGGTATCTGATTTCTAATTTCGATATTTTTTATACATTTTTGGCTACATCTTCGCATTTTTGTCGCCTCAGCCAAAAGCAACTTTTTTGTTCGGAAGCACGTGCGATTTTCTGAATGCTGACACTGAAGAACTTGATGATGCAACAGCAAGCATGAGCTATGTTTGTTATGTATGTTTGTATTATGTATGTTTGTTATGTATGTTTGTTATGTACAGCTATGTTTTAGGGCCTTGAGCATGAGCATCATTATCAACGAGTTGTTGTGCTACATGCTGTGCAAGGTTGATAGCGTGCCACTTGATGTTATCGTTAAATTGGTAAGTGAGAGTTTCTCGGATGAAGAAGTGGAAGCTGCCAAGGACATTTTATGCGATCATGTGGACGAGTCTGTGAGAGTGGGAACCAGACGTGGTCAGAATAAGAAAAAGATGTATATTGAAGGCATCGCGAAAATGATTTTTGAATGTGACAGAGGAAGTCTTCCTAAGTTTGTTGCCCTCGATTTGGCCAGGCTGCCTCCGATCACCGTGGATAGCATCGATATAAGCTCTCTTATGCGCAAACAGCAGTTGATGGATGTCGAGATGGCCACAATGAAAGATATGATCCATGATATCTTGAAGGTCACGGCTGATACCTCGAAAAGGGTAGAAGATGCAATCTTGAAGCGTTCTGTTGAGAACTCGTGCAAGGGGACGGTGAATGCCACAATTCAGTGTCCTGCTGAGCCGACCCATACGACTACTGCACCGACACAGCCTAAGACTTACGCTGATGCTGTCCAGAACGTGAATGTGACCCCCTCTGGTGACGAAGAAGGCTGGTCCACGGCGAATCGGTCCAAAAGAGGTACGCCCAAGAAGAGGGGAAGTCCTCCTACACAGGACCAGCGCGCCATTGGTGCAGGAGCAGGTGCACCGGCTGCTTCTTCCTCTGCCGTCACGGGCGCAGTTTCTGCTGTCAAGCCGTCCCATCAGTCCAACGCCGTCATAGGAACGCGGAAAGCCGGGCCCATCAAAGCAGTATCGACCGTCAGACGGTTCTCCATGTTCATCTCACGACTGCAACCAGGTACTGGGGAGGATGCTGTGACCTCATATGTTCTGCAGCAGACTGGGGCGGAATCTGCTTCTTCCGAGAAGTTGCCTACTCGTTTTGATAGCTATGAGTCGTACCATGTAGAGCTCATCAATCCGCCCATAGGTTTAAATGTGTTGGATCCTCAGCTGTGGGCACAAGGACTTGTCATAAGGCGCTTTTTCCGTAAACGAGTAGCCCTGGGTACGTCTCAGGAGGGTCTGTGAGTTTATTAGTCAGTGCCTGTGCCATGATGTCTGTCAGTCAAATTCTTTCGGTAATTTTCATCACTTTATTTGCGATGCTTAAAATCAGTTCTTACAATTGTCAGTCTTCCAAGCGTAATTTTGGAGGCATTAAGAAAATGTGTGATATGTCTGACATTGTTTTCGTGCAGGAGCATTGGCTGCTTCCATCAGATCTGGTGTCCCTCAATCATATTCACAATGACTTCTTTTCTTTTGGCTTGTCATCCATTGATCCATCTGCTGGGTTGTTAAAAGGCCGGCCTTATGGTGGTGTAGCTGTGCTCTGGCGCAACAGTCTGGCCTCTCATGTTAAGCCCGTGAGCTATGATGACGACCGAATTGTGGGGTTAGAGTGTGACTTTGATAACGTCAAAATTCTTCTCGTTGGTGTATATTTGCCCTATAACACAAGCAATAATTTTGACAGTTATGTATATTATTTGGGTAAGTTGAGGAGCATTGTGAGTTTTATGTTTTACTTTGCCAGCTTGGCTTCACGCGTGAAGTGTCTGCTGAGCAGGTCGTTTGTCTAGGAGTATGAAAGTTTTATTTTTAGCCCAACTTCTAAAGCATTCGTCCCTTTCAGATGTAAACGTTACCAACTACAAAGAATTTGCTTTGTCTTGGAACAGGTATATTACATTACAGGCTATAAAAGTCATGAGATTAGATTCGAGTAAAGCAATAGCACAGTTACCAGGCAATAGGCAGACAGGCGCAATGTTACCCGCTACACGCACAGTGAAGAAAACACTGCCGCGCCACTCGGGCACAAACAGGTCCTGACTGGACCGGCGACCCACCGGTACTCACATCACTGCGTGGCGAGGCCGCGGAGGAGCACCGCTCCGTCCGTGACAGGGCGGACGAGTGCCAGCGAAGGCGAACAAGAGAGAGCCAGAAGCGAGCCAGTAGAGCGAGCCCCGAGCCTACGCCACGCGCGCGTATTTATACCGTCACACGCAGTGTGACGTCACAACCCGCGTACTTTCACGCAATCCGAGGGCCACAGTATAACATATAAAAATAATACACATACGAGTACACGCACGTTACAGGCATGGCCGTAAGAATCCGTCCTTATTCGCGAATGAAACCACATGCGAAACAAGTGCTAACTCACAAACTAACAAGATGTCAGATTTTCATATAGAATACCAGATAGGATATAAAGTCACACACTTTTTGTTAACAGTTAATATCATTACAATAAACAATGCGACCCGGTACCTCATCGTTGTTTATTGTACCAGACGGCCCGTATTGTTTCTCGTAATGTTACATTGCCAATTTTTAAACGTACCTAATGCAACCGCCAACCGACAAACAATGCAACTAGCATTATGTTTTCTGCTTTGGAAAACCCGTGAAACCACGTAAAATAGTGAACATTCTGCGACATACTCAGTTTTGCCTCTAACGTATCTTATCTTATATGTGCAACAGACCATGCAACCGCATCAAATCGGGTGACATACATCAGCTTAGAACCTGGCATATCGAACGTTTTGAAGTACAATAAATCATGCAGTGCGTGAGAATCGGTCCTGCAATAAGTTATTACGCACGTATTCACCGTAATACGTCGTAATATATTTCACACAAGGAATAATGCGATCGATCCGTATTCCAGGTCTGCTCCTATTTATTCATTGTTAGCTATACAGAGCTACAGGAGAAAAAGCCTGTTCCAATCCATTGCAGGGCTAATTACATAAATATAAAAACTACATGTTCTAAACGTCGGAGAGACGCGTACTTCACGTGGCACGGCTGTGCGGCGTGAAAGTCGTGACCTCGCGCGCCCGCCCGGTCTCGCCAGCGCGCCCGGCCCCAGGGTCGGGCTAAAGCCATCTCCTCGCGCTCCGTCCCGGGTTCACCGTCACGTCCCGAGGGGTCGGGCGAAGGTCGGTCAGTGGCCAGTGCGTAGGTTGCGACACCGTGCCGCCTCGCCGGTGCGTGTGGGCGGTACGGTCTCACCACGGCACCGGCCGCGGTCCACGCCGCCGCTGCGTGGTGTTGCAGCGAGCCTTGCGCCACCAGAGGCAGTGATGCAGGTCACATCCACCGCGATCGTGGCACGGTCACCGATGGTGGCGGCGCCGGTCGCGCCCACCGCGACCGTGATTTTCTCACAGCATAATTGATTATTTTGATTCTCAGCACGTTTGCGTATTGGGTGATTTCAACGCAGACGTGGTCCAAGGATCTGAGTTTGGCAATGAGCTAGGATCTTTTTGTTGTGATTCGGGATTAGTGATCGCCGATGTTCAGTGTCTTCCCTATAACTCTGTCACGCATATTAATGATGGTAATGAAGTGGAATCTTGGTTGGACCATGTCATCTGCACGAAGGGTTTTCTTGCCCTTATTAATGATATAAAAATTGATTATTCCATTCAAAGCTCCGATCACTTTCCGATATCGGTTAGCGTCGATATTAAGCTGGCTCTTAAAGGTAGTGTGCCACCTTTGAAAGATTTCCCATTTTATTTTTCCTAGGATAAGAAGCTTCTGTTTTTACCTAATATCGCAAAAAAAATCAAAAATGGGCCTGGAATAGTGCCTTTTTCGCCTAAAAGTTTTTCGGTTTTTAGATATGTATAACAACTGTAGTGGGCTCACCTGCAAACAGGCGTCGGGCAACAATCGCGAATGCGGCGCACTTGTGACAATAAGCAAAGGTCATTATAGTGTTACGACCATACGACGTACGGGAATGAGTTATCAGCTGTCTAATCGTAGACAACACAATGTCGAGCCTTAAACTGTAAGCCCGTATTGGTATTGTTTCTTTTATTTGGCTGTCGAACATTATTTATGGTTTAAAATATGATTTTATGTAAAATAATTGATATGAAAAAGCCGTCTTATAAGTTATGACCCCATTTCAGCACACGCAAGTGGCAGAAATGACAATGATCAGCTGACGCATTTTTCTTGGCCGAAGTCAGAGCGCGCGGCCCGACGCACCACGCGTATTTGGAAATTCCGACCTCGACGAGCATACGTGCATATAGTTGCATCATATTCACATTCAGATTCGCGTGCACATTCGCGGACCCCTTCGATTTGGCTGAAAA